ATATATACAGGAAACATATCATAACTATGTCTAAAACAAAAATAAAAAAACATGACAAGTATGCAATACATAGCAAAAACAAACAAAAAGTTCATGGATATATTTGTTTCAAATTTTGTCTCTTATTTTAAAACCACTCATCCACCTTAACAAAAGTCTATATTAACTTTTATGTTTCTTTTATTGGCAAACATTTTGCATTATAAAGCATTGCAAGCCTCACCGTCGTCTTATAAAATTTATGTTCAAGTCTAAGTGGTATTTATGTTCAAGTCTAAGTGAATTTATGTTCAAGTCTAAGTGGTACTTATCTATGTACAACAAGTCTTATGCATTCCTTCACTTCAACCATCCAACTTGAAGTGAAAATAAACCTAAAATCTACATCAACATAAGCTTAGTGTGGCCCATGAAACCTAGGGTTCTAACCTTTCTAAGCCTTTCAAGTTTGGTTAGTGTTTAACCTCTCAACTCACTCTTCCTATTTACATAAACATAACTTAAACCTACAATGACAAGAAAGTGTTAAAACTTAAATAAACTTAATTAATCAAATTTAAATATAAAATCATCTAAACACTAACCAAACAACCCCCATACTATATTCAATTACAAACATAAACTCAAGCAAAAATAAATAATTTAAAATTCAACATACTTAATTTAGAACCTATAAATGAATTTACGCTAATATAACATAGACTAAATAAAACTACTTAAAATCAAATCTTAATTAAACTATATTAAACGTAAAACTAAGCCTAAAATCTACATTACTTCAAACCTAATCTTAAAATGAGAAATAAGATCTCACCATCATGGGGTTAAAGGCAACGTTCATCTCACTAAGTCCTTTATGCATGAACAAGAAAGTTTATGAGCAAGTAACTCCTCCTCTTTAAGCTTTTCTCCAAGCTTTAAGTAGAAATCAACTTTAAATTTGAAGAGAAAGAGATGGAGAAGAAGTTCATTCTCATTGTTTTATAAGGTGGTTAATTGGCTCTCACTTAAGCTAAAATGAGAGAAAAAAGAAGAGGAGAAAGGGGAAAAGCTCTCTCCATAATTATTCCACTCTAGGCACTCCAAGCTGCTCTGAAAGTAATTCGCAAACTATTCCAAATACCCCCCCTCAATCTTAAATATATGTAAAAGTTAACTAGAACACATGATACTTGACCTAACACCATGACACTATGTAGGGAATCGTAAGCACCACACTATGTGTAGCTTAGTTGCTACAAATCCTTTGAATGGATGAAGCTCCCAATGGATTTCTGGGAATATGAGAAGTTAATTGAGTTTGGAATATTGTCTAAAAATATTTAAAATGTGGTCCAAAATAATTTATATAAAACCTAATGCTAAAACATGAACCCTCAATAACTTTCAATTTTTACATACATACCTAACACCAAAATATTTATATGTGTGTGTGTAGTGAGATTATATATATATATATATATATATATTAAAAAAAGGAATGACCGGGGGTTATGATACGAGCCCTGACCATTCCTCAACACCTAACACATAAACTTCAATTTTAAAATAAATACCATATTACTTGTGCATTTCATACACCTAACACCTAAACATCAATTTTTACATGCATATCCCATATGAACGGAAAGAATGGTGCGAATAGGGTTACCTTCTTCCATGCTTTCTGATAAGAGTATAGCTGAACGATGATGGGAGTTTCGGTGGTTTTTGTATGTACGATCTGATCGTTGCCTCCCCAGCTAGCTCTAATGGCGACAGTATCACGAAGGTTTGTTCGGGAAGGCGATGGTTTTGAGCAAAGTTGTAAGGGAGAGGGAAAGGGTAAGGAGTGAGTGAGCGAGGCAGCTTGAGAGAGTTTCGGGAAGAAGGGGAGACCGAGAGACGAAGCGTGAATAAATGAATTTTAGGATGGCGAGATGTGTTATTTAACTTATTTGCGTCAAATTTTCATCTAATTTTAGTCCGACAAATTTCGACGCAAGCAAGTAAATTTTTTGCGTCGCTTTATTCGATGCAACTTCAACGCCAACACTATCGCAACTTCGTTTGAAGTTTTGGTATTTTTGAATACTCTTTCTGTCAAACTCTTTGACACAGATCAGACGCAAAATTTGCTGCAAAGATCAAAACTTATTATTCGACTCTTAACAGCCGCAAATCCAACACTAATATTTGCGTTCGAAAATTCTGACGCATGTATTAGATGCTAATACTCGCTCCTCCTGTAGTGTCAGTCATCTGTAGGCTCATCTGTATGGTCATGTCTGTGGCCATTTGATTGCTTTGAGATTTGTGCAGACATTTTTGTAATATACAATAGGCAAGTTATTCGAGGCTCCCCTATAATTGACTTCAATGCAAAAGTTTAATCTGAGCTCATTTCTAAAAAAAGAATATTTATTGGTAAACATTAGAAAAAATAACTCAAGTCTTAGCACAAAAAATACATTAAGAGAAAAAGCACCTAATTTATGTTATTAGAAGAATAAAGTTTGGTTTAGGCATTGTTTACTCAAGAATCGTAAACTAAATTTTTATGCTTTGTAACGAAGTAACAAAAACTACAAAGCTAGCAAACTATAAAAGATTTGGGTCGAGACTGCAACAAAATATATATCTCCTATACATTGCAAGGAAACTCAATCTATATCACTAAGAATTGCATTTAGCTACCGTAAATTGCAGCTAAGGCTATCAAAACAGCTTGTTGTTCGCAAACAATTTGTGTTCGACTCGTTAAAAAGCTCGTGTTCGGCTCGTTCGCTAAGTTAACGAGCTGAACACGAACAACACGAACAATATTTGTTTGTTCTTGTTCGTTTGTGTTCGGCTCGTTTTGGCTCGAAATACTACTAATCAATTATATATATATAATTGATTGACTGCAAAGCTACAAAGATTTATAATCAATTAAAAGTATTGATGCAAAATATAGAATAAAAATTATTAAATTAGATTCAAATGATGTTTTAAAACTTGCATAATCCTTAACATCTTATGGCTACGTGATTAGGGTTGTCTAAACGACTTTTTGTTCATGAACGAATCGCGTTTGGTTCGCTAAGCAAATGAGCCGAACACGTACACACTTTTTGAGCTCGAAATATAAATGAGCCGAACACAAATCGCTCGTGTTCGGCTCGTTTACGCCCCTAATTGCAGCCAACTGCTGCAATCTACAACAAAATATATCAAATTATTCTAAATTGCTGCTAACTGCTATGATGTTCTCCGGAATGGCCACTATACTGTGTGAAAATCTTATTGTGATTTATGTTTAATTTTTCTTGAGAATTTGGTGAAGTGTTCTGATAAGAATGACTATAATGTTAGCACTCATTTCTATCCATTCATGATATGATTTTGGTTGACTCTCCATTATAGTTGTCATGTCGATGATCAATCTAAAGGCAGATACAAAAGTTATTGCTGTTCAAAAAATTATGCTGACTATTATAAATTTGTTTGAATTTCAAAATATAAAACTGCAGCTTTATGATAACCACCATATTTTTATAGGTTAGGTTGAAAAAAAAAATAATTTTCTATAATTTTCTATGATAGAAATTTATAGAAATCAGCAAGAAAATATTTCCAGAAATAAAATTGTGATGACGGTTAGAATAGCAATGCAATCAGAAAGATGCCTCAAATGGATCCTAAATTGGATCGTAACTAATTTTCTCTACATTGATAATCCTGTGCTATCTAAATGCCCACTCTCGAGTTTTCTGATATGTATGTATATAGTATTAGTTTGCTATTAGATAAACAAATACAGTATTTTCATGTGGTATTTCCTTTAAACCCACTAAAAACATTAAAAAAAAGGGTAAAATCGCTAGAATATAAGCCAAAAAACATAGGCACCAGGGACGATTTATTAGGCTCCGTTTGGGGAAAAAATATTACCTCAGGAGTACTGATAAGTGTCACGTGGCGTCACGGTGGGACCATTGCATACGTGACACCCCACCATTGGAGTACTGATGCATTAGTACTCCTGAGGTAATATTTTTTCTAGTACTCCTGAGGTAACTCCGGAGGTAATATTTTTTCCCATTTAGAGCCCAAGTATTTCGTGCGGCGTGCCCCAAACCACGAAGCTGAGAAAAAAATATTTGTTTGAATGCTGCGAGGCCGCCCGCCGTTAAAATAAGCGGAATGTGAGCCGCGGGATCGACCAAAGAAAGGGAAGTGAAGGGGATGTAGGTGAGGGGTTTTTTTTTGTGATATTAATTTAACTTTATTTAAGTCAAATTTTATTAATTTAACTTATTATAAACCAATAATTAATTAATAGATTATCAGATTAATTATAATTAGATAAATTTAAATGTATTTATTTAATAGTTAATTAATAAAAAGAATGTATATAAAACTTTCAATTATTTACTGGAAGAAAGTTTACATGCATATCAGTGAAAACTCTTACTGCTATTATGTATTTAACACCTAAGAATATAATATTACGACTATAGCATGATGAAATTGTTGTTAAATGTGTATACGCTTTGTCACTGTCCTCCACGATGTTCGCTTCATCCCTTGACGGAAAGCAAGAAAAAACTTTCTAGGACTTCCTTTGGCTGAAATCTTCTAAAATATCAAATATGTGGTGTTCACAGTTCTGTGTTAAACAATTTTACTAAACAGGGACAGAATTGTTATTTTTTAAGAAATAGCTGCCCTACTGTTGTTTTCACGCAGCCGCAACATACAGACAACCAGCGTCCCTGCAGCATATTCCTGGGACAGCGCAACTGAAGCTAAATGCATCTGCGCCAAACAGATCAAATGACACCATTTTATCTTTTTAAAAAAATTTTTAAGTTTCCAATTAAAATGTAAAAATTTACCGTTTTTAAATCAGCCTATACAAAAATAGGGCCTGCAGGCCGGTAGGTTAAGTCCAAATGTCTCTACTACCAGGTTTACTTCAACGAACCCAGTCCACGAGCACCCCCCCTTTGAACTAGCCAATCTGCAGCATTACTGTGCAGGAATATGATTTTTAAAAAGCTTGATTATTTAAATCGTTAGTTTAAACCATTACTCTGCCGGAATTCCCTGGTCGTCGCTCGGTCTGCGGGCTCTCCTCTTAGCAAAGCATCGTCCTCTCCCTTTCTCTTGCTGCTTTGATTCTGGAGGAGCTTTCAGATGGAGAAGTTCGGCTCCTCCTCTCGAAGATCGGAGCATCGTTTTTTTGATGCATGGAGTATTCAGGTTAGGTTGATTCTTAGCTATGGAACCAGGAGTTCTTTTCAGCTGGATCTTCATTTCCCCTTTGTTCTGTAATATTACTGGTTTGATCGTTGATAATTGCTCTTGTTTGAATGTGGGTTGTTCTCTTGCAAATTAGAGATGATTTGGGAACGCAAATAGTGTGATTTTTTTATGGCATGTAGTATTATCTGTGAGATTATTATGCTTTTTCTTTCTCTAATTTGCTGGAAGACTTTCTTTGTTTATATCGATTATAAAGCTGAGAGGATTTTGGATTTGTGAACTATTATTGTAGCAATTTGATGTGATGCGATCAGTGTTTTCTGATTTAGGAAAGTTAAATTTTGTGTTAAGCTTGTCTCAGAACTACAGGTAACTCAATTAAGAGGGAGTCAGAAGAGTTAATAAACTGAAAAAGGAGCAGAAAGAGACTGGTGATCCTGCAGTTTTATGCAAAAATAAACATTAAATATTGATCTTTTATTGTTGTTTTGGGTTAATTTTTCTATTTTTTTTTTCCCGAAATCAGTTTTTGTAGAGCTGTGATAGCCTAACATTTATGTGCGTTTTTTTTTTCCGGAGATGTATTTTATTTTCTGAATTCATTCTATGCTGTGTCAAATCTTTCAGACATGAATGCGAAGTGGAGAGGCTTGGTATGTGAATTTGGAAATTATTGGAATTGGTGAAACCAAATTCAAGTGGAGAAGAAGCTTGGAAGGTGAGGATGGCAAGAGGTAGGCCTAAGGAGAAAGTGAGATGGAGCAAGCTCTATTCTTTCAATTGTGTTCGTCCTTCTGTGCAATCAGACTTGGATCGCTCTCCTTCCCTCCTAGGGCCAGGCTATTCACGAGTCGTCCACTGTAACAAGCCTCTTGTGCATAGGAAGAAACCCTTAAGATACCCCACGAACTACATCTCCACCACCAAGTACAATTTTGTAAATTTTCTTCCAAAAGCAATCTTTGAACAGTTCCGGCGGGTTGCGAACCTCTACTTTCTATTGACTGCAGCCCTGTCACTCACACCAATCACTCCTTTTACTCCTGTGAGCATGATTGCCCCGTTAAGCTTTGTTGTTGGGCTCAGTATGGCAAAAGAAGCATTAGAAGATTGGCAAAGATTTATGCAGGATATGAAGGTCAACCGGAGGAAGTTCAACATCCATACAGAAGAAGGCCAGTTTGGTTACAGGAGCTGTCAAAAGATTCTAGTTGGGGATGTTGTAAAAGTTGAGAAGGATCAGTTCTTTCCAGCAGACTTGCTTCTTTTATCGTCTAGCTATGAAGATGGGATATGCTATGTTGAGACCATGAATTTGGATGGAGAGACAAACCTGAAGGTGAAAAGATCATTGGAAGTGACCTTACCCTTAGATGATGATGATGCCTTCAAGGATTTCGGGGGCACAATCAAATGTGAGGACCCAAATCCTAGCCTTTATACATTTGTAGGAAATTTTGAATATGAGCGTCAAATTTATGCTCTTGATCCAAATCAGATACTTCTTCGAGATTCAAAGCTTAGGAATACTTCATTTATTTATGGAGTTGTGATTTTCACTGGACATGACACTAAGGTCATGCAGAATGCAACTAAATCTCCATCAAAAAGGAGTAGAATAGAAAAGAAAATGGACAGTTTGATATATATACTGTTTAGCCTTCTAGTGTTGATTTCACTAATCAGTTCCGTCGGATTTGCGGTAAAGATAAAGTATGGGATGCCAAAATGGTGGTATCTGCAACCAAATAATACAACAAACTTGTATGATCCTTCAAAACCTGTAGCCGCAGGTTTCTTCCATCTGATTACAGCTCTCATTTTATACGGATATCTCATACCGATTTCGCTTTACATTTCCATTGAAGTTGTAAAAGTTTTGCAAGCTATGTTTATTAATCAAGATATTCAACTATATGATGAAGATTCTGGAAATCCTGCACAGGCCAGAACCTCAAATCTGAATGAGGAGCTTGGTCAGGTTGATACAATTTTATCAGATAAAACAGGAACTTTGACATGCAACCAAATGAACTTTTTGAAGTGTTCTATAGCAGGAATATCATATGGAGTGAGTTCTAGTGAGGTAGAAATAGCTGCTGCTAAGGTCATGGCTTCAGATGTTTCAACTTCTCTTGACCTGCAAAGTAGCAATCAGGATTTGTGGGATAAACAAGCAAGTACATTTGGATCTTCTGAAATAGTTTCTATCAGTTGTTATTCCCCAATGGTGAGAAGAGAGAAAAAATCTTTCATCAAAGGTTTCAGCTTTGTAGATGACCGCCTTATGCATGGAAATTGGATCAACAAGCCAGATGCAGATACCATTCTTCTGTTCTTTCGGATCCTTGCACTCTGTCACACAGCTATTCCAGAGTATAATGAGGAAAGTGGTTGTTTTAACTATGAAGCCGAGTCACCAGATGAAGCGGCATTTCTTGTTGCAGCCAGGGAGTTTGGATTTGAATTCTTTAAGAGAACCCAATCAAGTGTGTTTGTTTATGAGATGCAAATTTCTGGTTACCCCATAGAAAGGTTAGCATATGAGCTAAAACTTAAATAACACAGTTTAAACTCTTCATTTCTTCCTTAAAAATCATGGACATGTTTCATTTTGACCTTATAGTGGTGTTTCAGAGAGTTCAAGATCCTCAATCTGTTAGAATTCAACAGCAAAAGGAAGAGGATGTCTGTAGTTGTACGGGATGAATCAGGACAGATACTTCTCCTATGCAAAGGTGCTGATAGGTATAATCGAATGTTCTTCCAAAAGTTTAAGTTTTTCATTCATTTTTTTTGCTTAATATAATTTATTTTATCTTCTTAGTTTTTGCAAAATCTTCTAATGCTTTAAAGATGCATTTGAACTTAAAGCAACTTTCTGTAGTAGCACCGCTCACAGTTGAACGAATCTTCTTCTTTTTTAACCAAGCAGCATAATATTTGAAAGGCTATCAAAGCATGGAAGAATGTATGAGAATGATACGCAAAAACATCTAAACGATTATGGGGAATCTGGACTGCGGACATTAGCACTGGCATACAAGAAGCTTGCAGAGGCCGAGTACTCAACTTGGAATGATGAATTTGTCAAGGCAAAGACATCAATTGGACCAGACAGAGAATCAAAGCTGGAGCAAGTTGCTGATATGATTGAAAGAGATTTAATTCTAGTTGGTGCTACTGCAGTTGAGGATAAATTGCAGAGAGGAGTAAGTATTTTTCTTGCTTAAATGATGAGTTGGTCGTCATTTCAGTCTCTTGAGATATCTCTGTTTCTGACATCTCTAGGTGCCACGGTGTATCGATAAGTTAGCACAAGCTGGCTTGAAGATCTGGGTTCTAACTGGTGATAAGATGGAAACTGCTATTAACATAGGGTATGTTTCTTTTATAGTTCTGTCAAGTTTGTTGCTGTCATTGGTAGTCATTGATTGGTGCTCAAATTAAATGAGTAATCTATTTTTTACACTTGCAGCTTCGCTTGCAGTTTACTAAGACAAGGCATGAAACAGATATGCATATCAACATTGAACACTGAATCGATAGGGAAAGTAAAATTAACCTCAAATGAGCATTCAAAGTTCCTTATCTGTTGGAATTCTGTTTCATGTAAGTTCTTACTGTGGATGGACCAGGCTATAAAGGAGAACATGTTGATGCAAATTGCTAATGGCACCCAAGCTGTGAACTTTGAGCAGGATCCTCATGAAGCATTTGCTTTGATCATTGATGGAAAAGCTTTAAGCTATGTTTTAGAGGACGATATAAAGAATGATTTTCTCAACCTGGCAGTTAATTGTGCTTCCGTAATATGCTGTAGGGTCTCCCCAAAGCAGAAAGCACTGGTAAATAGTTTAGCAACCTATTTGCTTTCTTACCTGGTTGTTCCAGTGCATTAATTTCATTAAAAAAAAAAGAAAACTATTATTTAAGTTTTTTGTTTTTTTGTTTTTTGCTGTTAGGTTACTCGTTTGGTGAAAGAAGGAACAGGAAAAACTACACTAGCCATAGGTGATGGTGCAAATGATGTTGGCATGATTCAAGAGGCTGATATTGGTGTGGGCATCAGTGGGGTTGAAGGAATGCAGGTAATAAACTCACATGTTGTATTTTTATAGGTTCTTTGGGTTATTATTTGGATGATTTTGAAAATATGATTGCTGATTCGAAGCTGATATTGTCCGAATCTTCTTTGTCCTCTTTATAGGCGGTGATGGCAAGCGATTTCTCTATTGCACAGTTTCGTTTTCTGGAGCGACTTCTTGTGGTCCATGGTCACTGGTGTTATAAAAGGATTGCCCAGATGGTATGAAGAGAACGATTTTCTTTTTGCTTTGTATTTCAATCCAGTCCTTATCCTTTTGAGCCATAACTTACTTTTAATTGCTACTCCTGCGTCCGTATGACATTCAGATCTGTTATTTCTTCTATAAGAATATAGCCTTTGGTCTCACATTATTCTACTTTGAGGCATATGCGGGCTTCTCTGGTCAATCTATTTATGATGATTGGTACATGCTACTGTTCAATGTCATTCTAACCTCATTGCCTGTCATATCTTTGGGAGCTTTTGAGCAAGACTTGTCTTCTGAAGTTTGCTTACAGGTTAGTTCAACTTCGTTAAATCTGAAGTGTGTTTACTTAGATTTTTAATACAATTTCACTGTATAAAATAGACAGAATTTTCCTCTTTGTCAAAGCTCTACCTAAAGTGTTGATGTGTATCAGTTACAAAAACGTTTGTGGTTCGTTCGACATTAAGCTTAATTCTGTGATGAACACATTTATGATCCTAAACAATTGGTTAAAAGCTTCCTAAATTCATAAGAATTCTTAATTTTTTCCTGAACCATTCTGATCTTCACTTAATGCTTCCTGCAGTTTCCTGCACTATACCAGCAAGGGCCGAAGAATTTGTTCTTTGACTGGTTCAGGATTTTTGGTTGGATGGCAAACGGTCTCTACTCATCACTCATCATTTACTTCTTCACAATTAGCATAGTGAATGTGCAAGCTTTTAGGGCAGATGGCCAAACAACTGACATGCCTGTGGTGGGAACCATCATGTTCACTGCTATCATATGGACTGTTAATGTGCAGATCGCCATGAAAATGAGCCATTTTACATGGATTCAACACCTCTTCATATGGGGAAGCATAGCCACGTGGTATATATTCCTGCTTGCCTATGGCTTTGCTTCTCCATTATTGTCTGGCAGTGAGTACCAAATTCTCATGGAGGCCCTTGCGCCGGCCCCCATCTATTGGTTCTCCACTCTTTTCGTAGCGGCCGTGTGCAACCTCCCCTACCTCGCCCACATCTCGTACCAACGAACATTTCATCCAATGGATCACCATGTGATTCAGGAGATAAAGCACTATAAGAAAGACGTTGAAGATCAACGTATGTGGAAGAGGGAGAAATCAAAGGCAAAGCAGAAAACCAAGATTGGGTTTTCAGCAAGGGTGGATGCTAAGATCAGGCAATTGAGGGGAAGGTGGCATAGAAAAGTGCTAACCCTGAATGTGGAAACAGCACCATAGGTTTACAATCTCAATCTCATTGCCTTCTTGTTCGTTTTTTATATGTTGCAAGTTCATTCATTATGTTATTTTTTTGCCTTCATGTCATACAAGCTGGCAGTATTAGCACGGGGGATGTTTCACAGGAACCCACCCCCCACCACCCCACCCCACAACACAGTATAGCAACCCAGAAAATTTATGTAGCGTGTTTGTATAACTGGGCCAAATTTATGCCAATTTTTGTACATTTGCATCTAATATTCTTTAGCTTGGGTGAAGCCTGATTGCAGATATAGAGCATCCAGGCATAGGAAGCTCTGTTTGATGGGTTGCTTCACCTTTCTTTCACCCTTGCACTGCCAAAAGTTCCTTTCTCTATTTCTACTATTATATATATATATATATATATATATATATTTTTAATAATATAAGAGAATATAAGTTTTTCTCTATATTTCTTATATTATATATATATATATATATATATATATGTTTAATAATATCAAAGATAATATAGAAAATGATGTGATCTTTTAAATATCAAATGGTAAAAAGTGGCCATTGGAAAGATTATAGTAGAATCTAAAGAATGATAAGCTTTGGGCATATGACACTAAGGAACTCAAGATGCCAGAATAAGTCTATCTTTTCTTAAGCTTTTTATTTTAAATTATCATTCTTTTAACTCTATGTTAAAATTGATGAAACTATTATTAAAAATTGGACTCACTATTCGACAGTGAGGGAACTACATGAGGTGAGGGCTTGTTACAGCATGTTAAAAGACATTACCTTTGAACCAAATATTATGTCATGAACTTAGTGTTGTGAAAAAAACGACGGCAATAAAGCGAAAAACAGATCTAGAAAAATTACACCAGAAAAGACGACACGACACAAGGAAAAGGCGACACAAGATTTACGTGGTTCGGTAAATTGCCTACGTCCACGGATCTGCAGAGGATTTTATTAACTTTGAGGATCACACTGTCGACCACGTTGACTTACAAGAAAGAATTTTCTCTCTCTCTCTCTCTCCTCACCTTCTCTCTCTCTCTAAACCGAGAGGCACACCAAGAAGAAGAAAGATAACTTTAAAGAAAGCTTCCTTGTGATTCTTTTATTTCAGTCTCACGACAAAGTATAATCCAAGGAGAGAAAGCTGTTTGAAGAGTAATACACTTCTCTGTAATCGTGAGCCCCTTTTAAAGCTTCCCAGTATCCAGCTTACTTTGGTAACCCTTAATTTTGTGATTCCATAGAGAAAACATGGAATCATGCTTTAATGACCCATATAAAGCCCATTAAGGCAAGCTATCAAATTCATTGCAAATTTTTTCTCTATAGCAACAGGAGATGCGGGAGATTAATTTGGTAAAGCTTAATTAATTAATTAAGCTTTCCTTAATTCTTCCTGTCAATAGAAGGCAACTGTTTTAAATAAAGACAGGGAAGCATCAAGCTATAACAGAGAACAAAAATACATAAGGAAATAAACTTAAATAATTTCCATAAGTGTCGAGGTCGTCAATTCAAGGAAGTGGACTGAGTCTCCACCTTCCTTAACAATTCTCCCACATGGAGACTAGGACACTGACTGCATTATCTGCTAGCTGCATCGACCTTATCCTCAAACGTGATATCATCCACCTCTGCAACTCAAAATCTCTTTCTTCAAGATAGAAAACCAACTAAAGTCGAGCACAACTTCAGTTTCTCAAGAGTAACACCTTTAGTTGACATATCACCGTCAACGCGGCCTTGTACCTCCAAGCTCTTTCTTGGGTTACTCATGATTCTACTTATAACTCTCACTGCATGGGCAATATCCAGCCTCAGTTGAAGACCTTTTTCAACAAGTCTAGTTTTTACTGTTATCAAGCGCAGTCTTTACCCGGTACACCCACTTGTTATGCAATGTCTTCTTCCTTGGTGGAAGTTCTGTCAGCTCCCACTTGCTCGAACTTTCATCTTGCAAGATTTATTTATAACTCTGTGGTTCTCCACTATCTGTCCGTACAGGATCCAATTTTTCTGCCTTTGGCGCTCTGCCACTTTTTAAGAAACTGACTTTCTTCTACTTCTCCATAATGCTCCTCTGGCTCATGTGTTCACGCATGAATAAACCTGTAGTCATATATAGTGTGCCAGTTTTCTTACCCCAAGCAAGTACTAATGCAAGTACTAATGCTCCTCAGGTACTATTTGAGAACACTATTGAATGACCACCCTCATTGAGTTGCCCAACAGAAATGAGGTTTTTCTTCAATTGCCCAACAGAAATCCCAACAGAAATGAGGTTTTTCTTCAATTTAGGAACGTGCCTGACTTTTTGTAAAGTCCATTTATTCTTGTTAGGGAGTGCAATATCAACGTATCTCATCCCCACCACGCTCAACCATATCTAGAGCATTTCCATCAGCCAGATATACTTTCCCAAAGTTACCTGCAACATTGTTCTGCATTAACTCCTGGTGGAAAGATGTATAGAAGGAAGCACCTGAATCTAGAATCCAGTCATCAACAGAACTGTGAACTATCAATAATAGCCCATCTTGTATCTCTTTAGTTACAATATTAGCGTCATCATTCTTCTTCTTGATATTTCTGCAGTTTCTTTTTATGTGGCCAGCCTTGCCACAATTCCAGCAGGTTGCCTGCTGACCAGACTCTGATTTTGTTCTTCCTCTGTTTGAGTTCCTGTCCCGTGATCTCCCTCTAGAATCAACAATCAGTGCCGAACTCGAACCCGAGGTCTCGCCAGAATCTTTTCTGCGCACCACCTCAGCCAAAATTAAATCACGTATATCATCATATTTTAGTTTAGATTTACCTGCAGAACTGCTAACTGCCATTCCCATGGCTTCCCAATTATTTAGCAATGAAGCCAACAATATCAGCGCACGAATCTCGTCATCAAAATCAATTTCAACGGACGATAATTGATTGGTAATAGTGTTGAAATCATTTAAATGTTGAACTAGGTGTTGAGCAACAAAAACACCTTCCGCCATTTTCAGGTTGAATAACTTTTTCATCAGGTGCACCTTGTTATTCGCTGATGGTTTTTCATACATGTCTGCTAAAGCTGTCATGAAATCTGCAGTAATCCTCTCCTTGATGACGTTATAGGCAACAGATCTTGACAGGATTAATCGAATAACCCCCAGAACCTGTCGATCCAACAGATTTCATTCCGCCTCGTCCATCTTTTCCGGCTTCTTTCCCAGCAACGGCAGTTGAAGTTTCATCCCATAGAGGTAGTCCTCTATCTGCATCCTCTAGTAACTAAAATCTGTGCCTTTGAACTTCTTTATCCCCGATGCCATCACTTCATCTCCACCCATCATTTTCTTTCAGCCTCGAAACAAGACTCTGATACCAGTTGTTGTGAAAAAAATGACGGCAATAAAGTGAAAAATAGATCTAGAAAAATTACAACATAAAAGGCAACACAAGATTTACGTGGTTCGGCAAATTGTCTACGTCCACGGAGCTACAGAGGCTTTTATTAGCTTTGAGAATTACACCGTCGACCACGTCGACTTACAAGAAAGAATTCTCTCTCTCTCTCTCTCTTCACATTCTCTCTCTCTAAACCGAGAGGCACACCAAGAAGAAGAAAGACAACTTTAAAGAAGAGCTTTCTTGTGATTCCTTTATTTCAGTCTCACGACAAAGTATAATCCAAGGAGAGAAAGTTGTTTGGAGAGTAATACACTTCCCTGTAATCGTGAGCCCCTTTTAAAGCTTCCCAGTATCCAGCTTACTTTGGTAACCTTTAATTCTGTGATTCCATAGAGAAAACATGGAATCATGCTTTAATGACCCATATAAAGCCCATTAAGGCAAACTATCAAATTCATTGCATTTTTCTCTATAGCAACAGGAGGGGAGGGAGATTAATTTGGTAAAACTTAATTAATTAATTAAGTTTTTCTTAATTCTTCCTGTCAATAGAAGATAATTGCTTTAAATAAAAACAGGGAAGCATCAAGCTATAGCAGGGAACAAAAATACATAAGAAAATAAACTTAAATAATTTTCATAAGTGTCGAGGTCGTCAATTCAAGGAAGTGGACCGAGTCTCCACCTTCGTTAACACTTAGAATATTATGAGCATCCAAGCATCTGCTTAAATTTAATAACGATGGTGATAATGTTCAAGCTGAATATTTAAGAGGCTAAGAAAGGCACACCTTAGGGGTTGTAGTCCTATATGCAAGCAACAACTAGCTAGACTCTTCTAAATATTTAAAATTTATGATGTTCATTTCTTGAAGCAAATGTAAGTGAGGGCTAGCTTTTTTTTTTTTTATGAGACTTTGAACATTACTTTTTAACAAAAATATAATCTAATAATGTAAAGTAAGAAATGTACCACTATAAAAAGATAATTAGATTTTGTCGATATTTTATGGACATTCGTAAGAAATGTTATGAATTTTTAATTAAAAATAATTATGCATGTGAATTTATCATACAATTTGGTGGCTTCCCCTTTCCCTCATTTATGATCATTTTCTTTGCACTTTGCTATTTTCATAGCACCTTTTTCTCAATGAAATGTCTAAAGTGGCCTTCTTGTAGGCCACTCAGGGAGAATAACCTACATAAAAGCCTTATCCTTGAGACTTCTTAGTTTTGCCAATATTAATTATTATAGTGTTATTCTTCCTCTCAATAATAATAATAGCAACTTCACTCTTGTCTTCCATATTCACGAATTTTAATTCATCTTTTTTTAACTAATCTACCATAGACATAATATACTCTTATAATTCTACCTTTTCTTACTCTAAAATCTTAGGTGCCAAAGTTATTGAGATAGCTTCATTAGTAACCTCTATCATTAGTTGTAGATTCTTAAAATTCTTAAATTTTAAAATAATTCTTGTTCCTTTGCACCGTTTGCTAAATTAATTCATCGCCCTCTCCCAATATTCTTTATCATATCTATGATTTTGACTCAACTATCATAGTAGTTTAAAATTTTGAGGTGGTCGTAAACTTTAATATCTTTGTTCATTCAACGAAGTAGTTATTTTTTAAAACTTTTGTTTGTAGGTAATTTGTTAAAACTCAATGGCCAAAATAATCTTGATGATAAGAAATGAATGCCCCACAAATGAATCAAAAGAAGGAAATGAGATTTGGTATCTCTTGAAGAGACACTTCATCTTCATCAAAATTAATCAGTAATAATTTATTTAAGATAACAATAAATGATATGAAAATATTAATTTTTTATCTAAAAGAAGGATCTCCATTACCATCTCAAAGTATTGGTTAAAAAGACAAACTTCATTAGCATTTTAGGTATCATTCTCTTCTCCATCTTTAGGATTCTTAGGGATTCTTCAACGGGGATGTTGAACATATCTTATCTATACTCTTATGAGGGAAGACTATGGACATAAAATTTATCATGATAGTTGATGTGATTTCTATGATAAGAGACTTATTAATATACATTATTTTAGAGGATGTTATAAAATTAAAAAATGCAGATAAAACCCTAATCATAAAATTATGATAATAAAGAGTCACAAGAAGAGTAGAGAACATGATCAAATTACAATATAATAAATTTCTTATTTGAAAGATCTGTGAAAGATCCATAATGAGCAGTTATAATAATATATTGATTATTAATAGTCATGATTTAATGCCCATTACATCAATCATTATTACACAAATCCTAACTCTTATGCAACCTAAGAACATTGACGCTTGTTTATTAAAGAATCGCACTTGAAGAATATAAGTATTTAGTAAGATGTTCATAATGCAATATGTAACATCTCCATTTTATTTAACGATGTAAAAAAACCTCTCTCCTAAAATAGTTCATATAGAATATGCTTTCATATGCTCTGAAATATCTTCCCCTTATTAACCTTCACAACTTATAAAGAGAGCAATGGAGAATATTAGCATTGCAAGAATGCAAACAAACATAAATTCAAAGGCTCAATATAATACATTTGATTGGTTTGTTCATTCAAAAAATATTTTCATTATAAACATAAAAAAATGTATTCAACATTGATTTTTGGGAGAAAATGAAGGACACTAGTAAAAGAATTCTTAGCCTAATCCAGTCTTAGCCTTCAACTTCTTGATGATTCATAAAGATTCTATTATGATAATGAGAATATATTTTTTCTAATTTTCCACTCATACCCTTAAATGACAAGCCCAAGAGGAAGCCTCGATAGAAAGCTAGTAGGAAATAGAGTTCTCACTAGAAAAACTTTATTAGAGAAAATGATTGACTATAGTTCATTTTAAAGGCATCAAAATCATTTCCTATTTCTTTCAAAAAACATATTCTTATTTATCAAAGCTGTTGACATAGACACCATCAATATCAAGCTAAAAAATGTATTTATCTAAATAACATGATAAACTCATCTTTTTAGGGAAGATCATAATCTTATCAGATTAATTATAGGTTTTAATTGTCTCCAAGTTCATCCAATTTATGACGAACAATTTAGCAATTATCAGACAAAAATATACTGAAAATGAATAGACAACAACAAACCATTGATGAAAAGATAAAAACTACTAAAGGATGGAGATGAATATAAAAAAATTGCTCGGAGATGAATATGCAATAATAATTTAAAAACACAAATGCAATAATAGTCTGGAGATGAACATACAACAATAGTCTATATAAAAATTATAGTAGCTTGAAGATGACAACAATCCAAAAATATTCTATAGAATATGGGAAATTAAAGCTTGATGAAGTGAATTCCTTCGTATTTGTAGGAGATATTTATAGTGGAAGGATCTCAAGTATTGCAGAAACAACAAAAAAACCATTGCAGATGCATATCATACTCTTACACACATTGCATGACTGAGCGTGCTTGTTTGTTGGCACGTTGCACCCCACACGAGCATGTAGCTCTTATGCACATGATGGCACCCCTGCACACTCACTTAACTACTCTTGCATGCATAAATAAGCCTAAGAGCATAACAGCACACATGGGCATAACCTCCATGTCGTGCTTGCACCTGCTCTCGCTGCATTCATGATGATTTACGAAATCCCTGCAAAGGTATGTGCATGACCTCCCGCACAGTCACTCGCACCCATGGGCCTTGCTACGCGTTTGCTTTGCATGCCTATATGCACACCCATAAGTGCCATACTATGGCATATCTCATCACTGCACCCGTGCAGGCCTGCACACATATCGTTGACATGTGAAGATTCTATGTAATCTTCATGCATTAAATTTTGCATTTTCTTCCTTATATTTATAATGATTTTATGCTTGTTAAAGATTGTTTATGGCGTTTCACCCTAAACAAGGGATTAAAAGCCAGTCATTGGGTGAAATAATGTCAAAGTCAAGGGAGCTAAATTGGTGTAAAAATGCCCAATAGCGGCGTAATTACGTCGCCTTCTCTGTATGGTCGCCATAACTATGCCAATTTTTTATAAAAATTTTAAATAATTTTCATGATAAAAACTTGAGCTTTAACTTCTAAGTAATTCTCATGCAATTTTTCATAAGCTTATAACCTTTTTGTAAATTCTTATGCAAATCACATACGCTTATAATTTTCATGTAAATTCTCATATCTTCATATAATTTTCATGCAATTCAGATGCTTAGTAAGTAAATATACAAGTGTTTGTATAATTGAGAAAAAACTTATGTGTACATGCTTGGCATATAAATGTGCAATTTCATATTAAAAGCATGCAATTTGTATGTTTAACACATAAACATGCAAATCTAAATGTTCATGTAAGCTCATAAACATTTCATAAAAATTATTATATTTTTTCATATTTAACACTTACTATAAATTATATTTTACATGGCTAATACTTAAACTTTCATATATATATTAAAAAACATAATTTTAAAATATTATTAAATATTTAGCAGTGATGAGCTATTTTGTGATAAATATATTTTATAAAAAACTATTTTTATGTAACAAATATATGTATTATTAAATATTTAGCAGTGATGAGCTATTTTGTGATAAATATATTTTATAAAAAACTATTTTTATGTAACAAATATATGTATTTGAATAGCTAACTTTAAATTTTAATATCTGGGAATGAAAAATAAAAAATTTTAATAATATTTAAAATAAATATTTTATGTGAAAACCTAAATTTTAAATGATATTATTATTGGGGCTGAAAATTTAAATTTTAAATTATATGCAAATAAATAATACTTTTTTATGTAACAATTAACAACTCCTGGGATGTAATTAGCTGACTTGCTCTTGTATGGATACTAAACCCCAAAAATAAAATAAGCCTTGCCACTTTCGGACTGAGGTAAAATCGGTTCATCACCCCATGTTGTAGTTAAACAATCACTTTAATGATTGAATTCACCTTAGGGTACTATTTTTGTCTCTCGAGATGATCTATAGGTTGATGTCATGTTCGATCATAATAGAAATTTTAAAACTCTTCCATGTGGTACACAAAACAAGAACATACATGTATAGCGCTCACAATTGCTTACACACCGTGCTACATTTAAGGGCACACCCATACACATGGGCACAGACACAAACACATCAATTTGCTCGTGTGTGCATAAATGTCACTTGTGATGAAAATGATAACATGATCATGCTTTTATATGAAGTGTTATTATGTCATTTTTTCATATTTTGGGCGCAATTTAGGTGTTTTCAAAACTCGACAATGTATTCAAGAAAAAAAAAATGAATAATTTAAAATTTTGACGAATTTCATTCTGATTGATATGTGAGTCTCTCGAATATCTAAAATTATTATTGAGATTTTTCGATGATTTACTATTATTTTTTAACAATACAAATATTGATATCGAAAAATTAAGGGCTTTTAATATCGCCAAGAAATTTATATTTAGAATGAATCTCAAAGCCTTTTGGGAAAGAGAACATTCAATTTAAATTCATGACCATCATAGCTCTGATTTCAAGAAAATATAATTACATAAAGCATCATGATATTACAAAATTTAATGACACTAAAAGTGATTTAATCCTAGTCCAAGATCAAACATTCGATGCGTGATAAAAAGTTTTAGTGCATTAATTGGAAGGTCATGCAATCTCTAATCAAAACAAGCAACTCGACTAAAGAAATCTAACAAATCCAAGATCATTTCATTATGAGGGTCTTAAGACTCTTATATGTTGAAAAAATAATCTTTCGTCAAACGAATCAATATGGATCATTCGATAGACAATTTTTGGAGGATGACCAAATTTATTAAAATGCATTACTAAAAAAATTATAATCACACTTCCATTCTTAATATGAATGAATTATAGGGTTTGGGAAAAGAGAAAAACGAGCTAACAATTACATCATAACCAATGAAAAAGAAGAAAACTGCAAGTGAATACCACTAATAGTCATATAACTTTGATCATTGTAGCCACCAATTATAACTTTTACATCCATTAACTATAGTTCTATGGTTGTTATGGCTAACTTGCTATTATATGACTATTATTATAGATTTTTATACTCTCATCTTTTCTTGTTCATAAGAATAATGAATAGATATAATTTAAATTTCTTAATGAATTATTTTGACTCGATCAAGTCATCATGATTTTCCTTTTATGAGATTTTTTTACATAAAAATTAAATTATCTTGTATTTTTACTTGTATGTGTTGAAATTAAGATATCGAAAATTTTCAATTATTGAGAATTCTCTTGTAAGCAATAATATTTAATTAGATAAATTTTCTAAAAATGTAATATAAAAAATCATTAATATAAATCAAAGATTTTTTTTTAAAAAAAAATCTTACAAATATCTAAACATTTTTTTAAATAGTTCATTAAAATAATAATCAATACATTTTTTAAAATAAAATGAATAATATTCAACTAAATTTAGCCCAAGAAAATTGTCCATCAGGGATGCCGTTGAATCACCGTCCTTCACCTTCGATCGCCGTCTATTCTAATCTAGAAAAATTTAATCGTTGGACGGTTATAATTTATTCCTTAAGAAAAGCTATTATCAACTAAAATAGAAACCCCGCATCCCGCTGCTCATTATGTCGACATTCTCTCATCAGCCAAGATCATGATTCCCTTCTCTCCATATCCACCGTCCGATTAAAAAACCAACGGCAACCTATATGCCAGAGGATGGCCCACCGAAAAAAAAATGAATCTCTTCGAGTGGCGCGATGCTTCGTCTTGGCAGAGAACGCTTCTCTTGCGGATTTCGGCTCCGTAGGCGTCTTCTGATGCGACGGGATGTCGACACTCTCAAGAGAGCCAAATATAAAATGAAACCACGCTTGCGCCCTTCTTCCTCGTCCTTCTCGACACTCGCAGATTTATCGCCGTGATCGAGAACGAAGCAGTTCCGATTTAAGTCTAATAGAAAGCACGGATTTTGCTGGATGTCTTTCATAGAGGTAGGGTTCTGTTTTTTAGCAGACCTTTCTGAGTTGTAACCCTAATTTTTTAATCTTCACAGGAACCGGAGTCCCTGTTTATCCTCAGTAACCTTGGCGCTAAATCCCATAATTTTACTGGTAAATTCTCAATAAATTCCTTACTGTTGTATGTAATTTAGTTAAAATTTGTGATATGCTTTCCAATCTCTCTTCCTTTGATGATGAATTAGAAGCCCTAATTCAGCAAATTACGGCGTCGCTATCAGCCTCCAGCTGCTCTCACGATGACCGCAGAGGCGGCGATGCTTGCCGAGACGATGCGGCCGCTTTCCGGCTCAAGATGATGGCGATCGGAGCCATCCTGATCGCCGGCGTTGGTGGCGTTGCGATCCCTCTAGTTGGGAGAAAGCGTCGATTTCTTCGAACGGATGGAAGCCTCTTCGTGTTGGCGAAAGCGTTTGCCGCAGGAGTCATCCTCGCAACTGGGTTCGTCCATATGCTTCACGACGCACAGATTGCACTCTCCAACCCCTGCCTCCCGGAATCCCCATGGCGCCGATTTCCCTTTTCAGGCTTCATCGCAATGCTTGCCGCGCTTGGAACCCTCGTGATAGATTTTGTGGGCACGCAGATTTATGAGCGGAAGCATCGCGAGGAGCAGATGGGATTGAAGGCGGCGGCCGCGGCGGCGGTTTCGTCGGACTCTATTGTTGCGGCGGCGCCAGAGTTTGACGAGGAGGCTCGCGCCGGGGAGGATCCGATGCATATCGTCGGAATCCGCGCGCATGCAGCGTCTCATCAGCATTCGCATGCGCATGCCCACGAGCACGGGCATGTGCTTGCCCACGATGATGAGGGTCAAGTCTCTTCGCACGTGCGCCACATAGTCGTTTCACAGGTACATATTCTGACCATTTCCTGCCAATTGGTGGTAACAGCAGGACTCCAATACCATCAAATTGCCGGCCCCTAATCCACATTTTAATATATTTACCCATTTGGTGGTGGGGCGAATCAATGTTTGTTTTGTAGCATTGGATTAATAAGTTGTAAAATGTATGTTTTCAGATTCTGGAGCTGGGAATTGTCTCGCACTCTGTTATCATCGGGTTGTCTCTTGGAGTATCGCAGAGTCCTTGCACAATCCGGCCTTTGATTGCGGCGCTCTCTTTCCACCAGTTCTTCGAAGGATTTGCGTTGGGTGGGTGTGTATCACAAGTAAGTGAATCGTTAACTTTTTAATTAGACTGAAAATCTCTTTCATGAAGTTTTAAAGCTTGATTTTTTGTCCTTTTTTTTGTTTGTACGTAAAATCATAGAGTTTTTGCAAGACTTTTAATTAGGGGTATTATAATCTGTGGTAAGTTCTTACTTTCAATTCCGCCTAAATTTCAACTTTTTTAAATTCTTGCAAAATTGTAGTGGATTTGGGCAATTTGTTTTTCTGTTTTTTTTTGCCTTGTCAATTGGAAGGTAGGAGAAAGTTCGACATGTTATCATGGTTTCTGATAAAATTCGACCTTCGTTCTCTTGATGATTTCAATTTTGGTTAAAGCTGGAATTGTTTAAAAATCTTGAGCCTTTTACGTTTTATCAATGAATATCTTATTTAGCTGTTGTTTTATGTGTCTGCCGTAGTTGGCTGAATTTTATAAATAACAAATTTTTAAATTAATTATTTTATAGAGAGAATTTTTAAAATCGAAGTTGTTTTTAATAAAATGGTATGTTTAAAGAAGAAATTAAAAAAAAAACAACCTAATTTACTTTCTACTTGTCAATTTGAGTAAGTTTAGTTTTTATGCTAATAAAAAGATTGTTGCATCATCAACTACATTAATTGAACACGTTGCTATTACTGAGACTACTAAGGAGATGATTTTACTAAAGAGATTTATGAAAAAATTGGGCATGGAGCAAGAGAATGAAAAACTTCATAGTGATAGTAAAAAACACAATTTTTCATACTAAGACAACACATTTGGCCAAGTTATCATTTCATTTATTCACTCGTACAAGATGGTTAATTATATTTGGTGAAGATAAACACAACTTAGAATCTTAAAGATACTTGATTAAGGTTGTTACATTTGAGAAATTAAAGTTATGTTTGGCTCCAATTGGAGTTTTAGGAAGGTTAAGACCAAAATTGAGTTACACTACCATTCGTTGCTTGATGTTGAAAAAAATTTGGAGATGAATTTATTTCAATCAATCTTAAGAGGGAGATTGTTGTGTGGAGACTGTCTATTCAATGGAGGAGCACTAGCCTGATGATGGAAAGAGGAGCACCCTACCCTAGTACCTGGTTTGGAATGGTGCTGGAACCAGTAGCTATTTCTAGCCATTGGGGACTTGAGTTTTCAACTTCTCTATGAATTGTGTGTGTGTGTGTATTGTGGATTCATGATCTCTTGCCTGTGAAAGAGAGCAGCTTTCAAAGTATTTTCTTGATTCTTTAATTGTAAAGAGGGAGGAGTTTTCAAATTATTTTCTTGATTTTTGGAGTGTTATATTTCTCTTCATTTATAGTAAATATCTTGACGCAACTTATATTATTCAGAAAAACTTTTTTCGCTCGGTTTTTTTGATAGAGTTGAAAAAAAATGTCATTTTTTAAAAAAATTTTCTAAGCTGAAATTTCTATCGTCATGCGCATGACCTACTTTAATATTATACAAAATAACGGATTAATTCTTTATTCTATATTATATACTAAAATTTTATGTAGATGGATGCGATTGTTGCATTCTACTTGTATGGATCAATTGAGGTTGTTGTTTGTGGTCTGCTACAGGCACAGTTCAAGAACGCGGCGGCCGCGTTGATGGCGTGCTTCTTCGCCATAACGACGCCTGCAGGAGTTGGCGTCGGTACGGCGCTGGCCCGGCAGTACAACTATAGAAGCCCTCGTGCGCTGCTGGTTGAGGGTGTACTAGATTCTGTGTCGGCGGGCATACTCATCTACATGGCGCTCGTTGATCTCATCGCAGCGGACTTTCTCAGCCGTCGGATGAGCTGCAATTTCCGGATGCAAGTCGCGTCCTACGTGGCGCTCTTTCTGGGCGCCGCTTCCATGTCTTCCCTCGCCATCTGGGCCTAATTAATTTTGAATGTGTTCTTGTTATATTTTTTTTTTAGGATTTATCTCATAAATTTAAAAAATAACATTTCAATACCCTAAAATCTCTTCTTTTTCATTAGAGGAACTCCTTTATATGGTCATCGAAGGTTTGGGGTGGCTGAAATGTAAATTTTTATGTTTTGGGGTTGTTAAAGGTGATATATTTGGAGTTTTTATATAAGAACCATCCAAAATGTTGAATATTTTATTTTGAACGCCTAAATTTTAAAGGGGGTTAAAAATGAAATATTCAATGTTTTTAGTGTTTGAGTGGTGGATAGTCTGGAATTTACAATTTATTTTTTTTAATATTATTTTACAATTTTTACGTATTTACGATTTTAATATTTATTTTCTTATTATTAAATTCATAGCAGTTTGGTAACACAAACTAATTCATTAAAAATGTGTATTTCACTCTTTGAAAATAAACAGGAGCATCATTTTTTAGGGTCATTTTTTTAAATAGCACACATTTCTTATGTGTATTTACATGCCTCACCTAAATTTTTATATTAGCACACATTGCACTCAAAATTTTAAAATTACAAGAAAATAGTATTATTATAAATTTTTAAATGTGTGGTACATTTTTTTTATGCATAAATTTGAAATAATAGAGTTCTACATATGTAAATATAAAAGTTTAGGTTTGAGAAATGTAAATACATGAGAATTGTGTGCTACATATGAATATTTTCCTATTATTTATTTATGTGACGAGAAAGATTTGAATGCTAAGTATGTAAATATTACATTTTAAAGGTTAGATATGTAAATATATAAAAAGCCGTATTTATTTAGAGGCTGTTATGTTTACTAGCATTTCAAATTTTTGATACCATCATACCCAAAAAAAAAAATAATAATAATAAAATAAATATATTAAGAATTATAACCTTTCATTCTAAATAAAATAATTATATATTCAGCGGTGAGAGCTGATTTCGTGAATGTGAGCTAACATAGGCAGAAGTGTAATACACTTCAAGTGCCCAAATGATGGAAACGAGGAATCAATAAATGAGAGCTGAATGACTACTCAAAATCATACATAATAGTAAATATTATATATTTTGAAAGTATGTGGGTGGATGGGGTGGTTTTCTTAGTCATGTCATCTTAATTTTACTTAAAATAATGTGGACTTCTCATCCATTATTGTTTGCAAATTTTTTTTTTTTTTGGAATTTTGTGGGTCCCGCCTATATTTTTATTAATAAAATGTCAAATACAAGACATTACGGAAGTGAGAAGATCAAATACATCACAATTAAGTATAACCAAGAAAAAAGAAAGAAAAAATGAAATGGAAAAAGAGCTTAGATGTTCTCCCTAGCTGCATAATAGGGGACACCGTCTATGGAAATCAAATGGACGAAAACTGATGAATTCCACTAAAATAATCTAGAAGCAGATAATCTCGAAGCACTAAAAACCACCAAAGGAGCTGTGAGAATTAGTTTATCTTGGATCCAACACAAAAATCCATGTGTCATGGAGATAGAAAGATCCGTCCATAGGGAAGACATTAAAACATCATTTCATAGAGAAGTACAACTCTCCAAACCAACCACCACAAAACAAAGAGAAAAGGAAAACAAATCATCAAGTAAATCCAACAGAGAGAATCCATAAAGAACTCATTGTAGCATTAACACTCTTTAATATGAGAGCAAGCAAGATCCCTGAATTTTCATATTTTTGCTTTTCTCCTTAACAACAAAACGAATTTTGAAAAGAATATTTTATGTTGTTAAAAGATATTGTTGAATATCATAGCATTTTTTTCCAATCATATAAAATATGAAGTGACATGAGTGGCAAGTAGAAAGAATTTCATGGAAATTTTGCAATTAATCGTTTAATCAAAAAACCATTAGCTACCTTAAAAGAGCATCCTTCATGAAAAATTTGTCAAAAAAAATATTGTGTTTTAAGATATTAAAGACAAAATTGCATTAAAAAAAATTTGAGAATGTGACTCTTGGTAGCAAAAACATAAAACATATTGGGAAGAAACCAAAATGCCCATAGAGGTAAGAATATCCATTGTTTTAAGACCCTCAACCAACATTTTCCACACATAGGCTGTAAATTTGAGAGAGTGGCCTTTAAACCATTTATTTTTATGCCAAGAAGCTAGAGGAAGCCCATCATATAAATAAAAATAACTGCTCTTGTGAGAATATAGAGATTTGGGGGATGAGAGCAATGCATTCAGCTGGGATGTTCTGAGAAGTAGGGAGATTCCATGAGTGATCTCTAATAAAGTGAAGTAATAAAGCATCCCTTAGACAGGTTAACCAACTAAAAACTTTTTCCCCAAACTTTTCATTAAGTGAAGTGCCTTCTAACCAAGGGTCTTAGAAAAAAAGGTCTATTGTTTGTTATAACATGAAGTGTGAGGCCTCTTCTAAACATATTAATCAACTTCCTAAGGTAATTCCACATATTAGAATGATTCCTCTTCATTTTATACCATAGAGAACCTAATTTTTGAAATCACCAGTTACAAAACAGTTGTAGTTATAGAGTCTCCAAAGAATCTCGGCCTTAAAAAAAGAGTTGACAGTATCAAGATTAGGTAGCTCCAAACATCAAAGATGCTTAGGTTTGATGAAGGTGCTCCAAGCGATGGAATGCATATGGTTAGTGGAATTATAAAATTGATGAAAAATATTCATTAAAGAAGTAATTTTCTTTTTAATTCCTTTAGGAATAATGTCAGATATGAGCCAATATAATAAATAATTCCATATGGTGTACCTTTGAAGTTGAAGCCTTCCAACAAATGATGAAGTTTTTTGCTTCTAACCACTAAGAAAATGTTAAAGCTTCTCCATAAGTTTATTACAAGTAAGAGAGGTAGGTTTAACACAATTAATTGTAATGTCCAATTGTTCCCAAGGTAAGGATTTTTCTTTAAAGCCAAGGATATCACAATACAACACTTTTATGCATTCAAGAACGAATTTAGAGAAGCATTGTGTTGATTTGGATGTATTTTCTTTGAGATTAGACAATTATAAAAAGAAAGCACCAAAGCCAACTTATTAATCTTTTTAGCTGAAGCTTTAAAAACTTGTATGGCATCTGTTGTAATCGATTTTTGATGTCATAAATATTGGATGCCTCTGTGATGTTGTGGGAGGGTGCGATGCTCATGCATACCCTCTCAAAGCTCAAGAAGTCCGTCAAGATATTACCCTGTCCTGGTCGTGCCCGATAACGACTACCTCTGATCCGTGTTAGTTCCCTGTTCAACAATAAGCTAAAAGATAATTCCAAGGCTTGGGTGGTCCGTTTCAGTGTTTAAGAGCTTTCTATGTCGTGAAATGTGCTTAACGGACCCCTAGAGAGAAAAATGGCCTTTAAGGGTATGGCATGATCACACCTAAAGGCAGTATGACCAAGTTGCATGATAGAGCCCACACTGTAATTACAACATGGGGCGGTGTGGCCACGTCGAAACTCCCAACAGTGTTGCCTTTGGTGTAGTCATGCCCGAAGGCGGTGTACCATGCCGCAAGATAGTGAGTCTATCGTAATTACGTCAAGGAGTCGGTGTTACCACGCCGACTCTGCGGACAAAGTGGTGTGACCACGTCTGAGTCCGGCGTGCCAGGCGTGACCATGCCGACCCCACGACAGAGCGGCGTGACCATGCCCAAGCCCGTAATGACCAGCTAGCACAAATTTAAAAATTTGGCCCGCCGACCCTAGGGTGACATGCTAGCTAGAGCCAACTTTTCAAACCCTTGTTAGACTTTGGGAGATCTCCTTTGGCTTATGAAAAGTCAGGGGGGATTAAACCTTTTTTGGCATGTCCTAAGTGCCCTTGATTAGCCATTTTTGGCATATTTAAGGGCACATTTAGAATTTTGCATAAGAAGGCTAGTTTAAGCTTCCTCTCTTCCTCATTTCACCCATCTCCACTCATTTTAGTTTTGGGGCTGAAGCTTAGAGAGCTTGGGAGAGCATAAATGAGTAATTCATTTTCTCCCTCAAGGAGCTTAGGGTTTTCTTGGAGCTTAGAGCTTGGAGCAAGGAAATAAGAGGGAGACTCTTATCTTCCTCAAAGAGAAGCTTAAGGGAGTTGTTATCTTCAAACTTCTCCTTCTTCTTCCATGTTCTTCCACTTTTTCCATCACTTCATCTGAGTGTGTAAGGAGAGTTTTGTGAGGAAGAACTTGGGTACCAAGGAAGCAGGGTGTCTTCTCTCCTACATTAAGGGTCTATTTGGGGCAGTTGTAGCTTATCTAGCTTATGCTGATATGCATCTTATCCTGAAAAGCTGCTTATCTGCATATGAACTTAATAAGCTGGCCAGCTATTTGGATTGAGCATTTGGAAAATAGCTGATTCTGCATAAATGTCCATTCTGCCTTTGTTTCTAAACCAGGTAAATGCATTAAAGATTGACCAAATATCCTAACTTTAGCCAATAGATACCTCACCTCTATGATCATTTTTTTTAATCATCTAATCAGCCATTTTTACAAGAGTTATTTCTAATAAAGATAATTTAACAAATTTCAGGACAATTAGCGAGAACAATTTTCTATCTTGATTCAACTTATTCTATCAACATTCAAACAATCAAAGGGGTTGTTTAGTATGAGGATTTGAGCAGAATTTAACCTAAATCCTACCAAAGAGCAAAAATAGCTATCAATCCTACATAATCTACATTCTCAGATTAAAAATTCAATTGGAATATGGATTTACGGGATTTAAAGTAGCTGGAGAACTCGAAGGGCTAGTTGGGGAGAAACACAAAGCTTACCTTCTCTCACGTCAATATCTTCTTCACCTCTTTGCGGTCGCTACTTCCTCACTCCTACTCGAATCGAAGGAGAAGCGGAGAACAGAGGGAACGGGAAAAAATTTCACTCAAACGACAAATGAAGGTGCAGGACGTCGGGTCGATTCTGCGTACCCGTCTATTAAGGATCCCAAAATGTCATTTTGGGATAAGCTACCCGAACGTGCAAACGAACGGCGTGGTGTCATTTTGAAAAAGCTGCCCTCATAAATAAGCTATCCCAAACATACCCTAAAAGAGTGCTTCATTCTGGCTTGGGAAAGGATAGCCTTGAACCCGAATCTCGTCTGACACTTCTTCTAAAGGAGAGCTTTTTCTTTCTTTAGAGAAGGAGTGGAGTGGACCTTATCGGAGCTTTGTTGGAACATCACTATCTCTTCTACCACTAAAAGAGCATCATTCAAATGCCATGTTGGTGAGATTAAGGAAAAGTGATGAGCAGATTGAAAGACA